AACAGATGTGGCTTTATAGCAGCAGTGGCCAGGGGAAGCCGCTGCTGAAAGCCGAGGCCTACTCACCTCTAGGCAGCTAGAAACTGTCTCCAAGCTGGGTGGATGGTTCTGAGCAGCTCAGCGGCAGCGGGTCAGCTGCTAGCTGGGAGCACCTGTGAAGAGAGGGACCTTTTCCCGCAAAGGCCTCAGGCCCGGTGGGACCCACAGCCCGTCCCAAATGGGGTGTAGGTTTCCAATATCCCACTCCTGACACCAGATAAAGTTGGAAATTACCAATACGGAGTCGGGTAGAAATATAAGGGTATTTAATAGGGAAAAGCCTTACTTACAGAGCGACCTAGCCAGCCCGCGTGGCAGAGATCTGTACAGCAAGTACCAAAATGAAACCGAAAGAGAAAACGAAGTCTCGCTCTACGTCACCCTGACCACGCCCTCGCAAGCGTGGTTAGGCACACCTGTAGCCAGCCCCTAAGTAGGCGTGGTTACAGCTTCCCCTACACTCGTGTGTGAAAATGTAAACATTTTCTCCTTTCTCTTCCTCCCTGCAACCCTTCCCTCGTCCCATGTCTCCCCTCCGTCTCAAGTTGATGGCCTCTTTTTGTTGCTGTTACTATGTTTGGTTCCTTGGTGTTCTTTGAGCTTTATGTGCAGGAGTTGGCAACTATCCCCTGGGGATGGCTCCCATAGTTACTTGATTGTGTCTAGTTGTGCTTTTCTGTAATAATAACACTAGCTTAATATTATTAATAAATTATTAATAATTTGCATCAAAATTATTATTAATAAATTGTTTATTATCAGTCGCATATATAGTTTCTCTGTCTCTCACACACACACATAGTATTAAATGTTTTTACTCTTTTGCTCCTTTGGGGGGGCCTGCCACCCAACTCTCTCTCTCTCTCTCTCTCTCTCTCTCTGGGGGGGGCCTGCCCCCCAACTCTCTCTCTCTCTCTCTCTCTCTCTCTCTGGGGGGGGCCTGCCCCCCAACTCTCTCTCTCTCTCTCTCTCTCTCTCTCTGGGGGGGGCCTGCCCCCCAACTCTCTCTCTCTCTCTCTCTCTCTCTCTCTCTCTCTCACACACACACACACACACACACACACGCATGCACGCATGCACGCACGCACGCACGCACGCACCTGGCCTGCTTGGGTGTATAGATTTGGGGCCCAGCCCTAGGAGAGGCTAATTCTCCATCATCCCTGAGCAGTCATTGTTGCCCATTGTTTTTTGTTTAGGTGTGGGACCCAGTGAGATTTTCCCTTTCTGAGTTAGCATTTCTATTGATATTGTTATTGTTGAGGTTTTGTTTAGGCAGCCTTATTGTTCAGGATTTGTGGGTGTAGCTTTTCTGTCATGTCTCGGAGACAGAATCTCATAGTAGACTTTTGGTCATCCGGCTCTTAGAGTCTTTGTCCTTTTTCTTTGATGTTCTTTGAGCTTTATGTGTGGGAATTGTGTTGGCACTGTATCCACTAGGGCACTTGACTGTGCCCATTGTGTCCAGTTGTGGTTTTCTGTGATGGTCTCCATCTGCTATGAAGAGAAGCATCTTTGATGAAGACCTACACTTAGGTGTTGGTATGAGAATAAGTATTAGAATGCAGTTAGGAATATGCTGGTCTAGTAAAGTAGTGCTGCAAGGTTCTTTTCTGAGATCCATGACCTCACTAGCCCTGAATAGCTGCCTAGACTATAGTACTAGTCTAAAATTATGTACTATAGTACATAATTTTCCTCCTATAGAATGAGCCTTAGGCCGGTTAAGCAGCCCTGCTCAGAAACTTCTGACGCCGGGGGTTTGCTCACCAGATCTAAGCTCGGCAGCTGGATCTAGCACATCCGGACACTGCGGAGGCCCCGGTGGTAGTTCTGCCTCCATCCACCGGCCCCGGGTGGGCCAGGGGCTGTTTCCGGTTCCCGTTCAGAGGTAGACTGATTCCCAGCTTTCTGAGAAACCGGCATACTGATTTCCAAAGTGGCTGTACAAGTTTGCACTCCCACCAGCAATGGAGCAGTATTCCCCTTTCTCCACATCCTCTCCAGCATGAGCTGTCATCAGTGTTTTTGACCTTAGCCATTCTGATAGGGCCTTCCCCTTTAATCAGAATAGTGACTACCCTAGTTGTCATCATAGAACCTACATCCAGTAACTGATGGAAGCAGACGCAGTGACCCACAGGCAAGCACTGGGCTGAGCTCCTGGAGTTCAGTTGAAGAGAGGGAGGAGGGATCACATGAGCAAGGTAGGTCAAGAGCATGCTGGGGAAAACCACAGAGACAGCTGACACAAGCGAGTGGGAGCTCAAGGACTATGGACTGACAGCTGGGGAGCCTGCATGGGACCGAACTAGACCCTCTGAATGTGGGCAACAGTTATGTGACTTGATCTGTTGGGGGGCCCCTGGCAGTGGCACCAGGACCTATCCCAGGTTCATGAACTGGCTTTTTGGAGCTCATTCCCTATGGGGGATACCTTGTTCAGCCTTGATACAGGATGGAGTGACTTGGTCCTTTCTCAATGTGGTATGCCTGCCAGACTTTGTTGACTCCCCAAGGAAGGCCTTAGCCCCTCCAAGGAGTGGATGGAGAATGGGAAGGAGGGCAGTGGGGGAGGTGGGAGAGGGGAAGAAGGGAGGACCTGGGGTGGGTATGTAAAATAAAAAAAAAATTTTAAATAAAAATATTGTGAGAAAGTTACTTCATGAGACACTAAATGATCCCCTTTTTATGGGAACCCCGAGAACTTTACCAGCTAGTTACATAGTCACTAATGGGAAGATCAGGGTTTGTGGTAGAGTATGGCTGCCTCTGCTTGAAGGGTGTGAACCACACTGGGTTTTTGGATGTGTACTTTTGCAGGCCAGACCTTGGGGGCAGCAGATAGCGTTAGCAGGTTGCTGCTCCTCATCATTGTGTCTGCAGCTCTGGCATCCTTCTGTTACAGCCCACACGGTTAAGCATTGTGTCTGCAGCTCTGGCATCCTTCTGTTACAGCCCACAGGGTTAAGCAAAACCTGTGGTTAGTGTCTCTGGTGCTCAGATATTCAGGGAAAGTTCACACAGCCAGATTCTCTTCAAGCCTTTTAAAGCATTTACTCTAAGACATAAATGTTATCTCAAAATGCCCTTAATAAAAGGCAAAAGATTTTGCAAGCATGTCCTCACTGGTATTTGTCACTGTGTTTTTATTGTTGTGCCGTGAGGTTTGGCCAAGACATGTGGCAGGCACCAGGATGTCACTCCTGACCCCCAGACAACATCCCACTCTATGGAATGTATTTTGTTTATCTCTTGAGATCACTTGGCTGTGTTTTACTTATGATGATAATACTGCTTTAAACATGGTATGCAAGCTTCTGTTTGAGATACTGTTTTGACTTTTCCTGGATATTTGTATGTCCAGGAGTGGAATTTATGAGTCATACAATCTTTCTATGTCTCACTTTTTGAAGATCAAAATTTTACTTGATGTGCAAGATAGTAAATACATAAAATATATTTTCTTGGTAGATATTAGAAAAACATTTTAATATAGTCAGGCAGAACTGTGTTCAAATAGCAGCCCCTTTACTATAAAGCTGTGACCTGGGACACATTGTTTAATCTTCCTATCCCATTTCTTCACCTAAAGTCTGTGAGCAGTGAGTTCCTGCCTACAGATAACAAGGACTCAGGGGACGTGGGAAGGCCTTTTATCAGGATAGTGTGGAACATGAGATGATCCCCTGGAAATGGAGTCATTGTAGTCATTATTTTATGGTCACAGCCACCCAAGCCCAAGTGGTATTAATTGTCACAAATGATGGTGGTGAATTTTGGCCCTACCAAAGAGAAGTAGGAGCTAAACAGCTCAAAATTTGGTGTTTTATACCCCGTTCGCCATAGATGGTTTCCCTTTGACTTAAGATGAGTGCATTGTCAGTCCATTCAACCGTAGCATTGCCGTCTTCAAAGGTAGAGAGATGTCTATATTTGTTTACTACTTCCTGACCCCACTCACAGACAGGAAGTTTGCTAGTGACTTGTCTGGACTCTGGGTGTGAGGATATGGCGAGCTTTTCCCATTCAAGTAACTAATTAATAATTAATATTCCACTAAAATAGATTTGTGTAAAAAAAAAATCTCATGAATACACCATGATTATCATGGTTAGTATTTTCATAGATGCTTTACATCTATTTATGTACTATCTCTTAAAAGTATTGCATTATAATACCACTAACACTATTTTTATAAACATTTATTTATTTATTTTGTTTTTTTGAGACAGGGTTTCTCTGTATTGCTTTGGAGGCTGTCCTGGAACTAGCTCTGTAGACCAGTCTGGCCTTGAACTCACAGAGATCTGCCTGCCTCTCCTCCTGGGTGCTAGGATTAAAAGTGAACACCAATGGCATGAAGTATTTTTATATTACCCATTTCTTACTGTTGAATGTTATTCCATAGAACATAATTTAAGAGAGTATCTTTGTGATAAATAAGGCCTTTGTGCATATCCGTGGTAACTACTATGACCTGAATCCATCCTCAGTGTTGGTGTGTGTGTGTGTGTGTGTGTGTGTGTGTGTGTGACAGAGAGAGAGAGAGAGAGAGAGAGAGAGAGAGAGAGAGAGAGAGAGAGAGAGAGAAAACAAACATGTATGTGAGCTTTCCACAAAAGTGACAGGTACCTGGGAAGAACAGTCTCATAGTTTCAGTAAGGAAAGATTTCTGCAGATCATGGGTTTAGAATGTGATCCATGGTTAGCTGGTTCCATTGCCTTTGGGCTGTGTGAGGTGGAACCGTGGTGCTGAACGTTGCTTCATGGCAGCCAGAAGTGACAGGAAGAAGGATGGACAGAGAAGACTATGATGTGGGGAGGAGGGAGGGAGCAGGGGAGGGAGAGGAGAGATGAAGGCAGTTGTTGGCTCTTATTTTTATTCTTTGGGGGCCACCATCCAGCGCCTGAATCCATCCAAATTTTCTCCTGGAGCTGTACACACCAGGGCTGCGCTCATGGAGGAAACGGTGTGGTTTTCTCCTGGAGCTGTACACACCAGGGCTGCGCTCATGGAGGAAACGGTGTGGTTTTCTCCTGGAGCTGTACACACCAGGGCTGCGCTCATGGAGGAAACGGTGTGGTTTTCTCCTGGAGCTGTACACACCAGGGCTGCGCTCATGGAGGAAACGGTGTGGTTTTCTCCTGGAGCTGTACACACCAGGGCTGCGCTCATGGAGGAAACGGTGTGGTTTTCTCCTGGAGCTGTACACACCAGGGCTGCACTCATGGAGGAAACGGTGTGGTTTTGTCCTGGAGCTGCCGCCGTGGAATTTGTATTCTGAGGAAGAAGGCAGAGGGCCAAGTGAGACTGAAGTAGTGAAGGATGTGTGGAGCTAAAAAAACAGGGTGAAGGGCTGAGGGGTGTGTCTGCAGTGAGGGCTGAGTGGCAAGAGCAAACTCTGGACATGAGAAGATGGGGTGAGAGGTGCCACAGGCCCTGTCGTAGACGTGAATGCCAGGTACCAGGTCATGAGCTAGAACAGTGCTAGCAAGTGTTGGGTAGTGGGAGAGGCAGTGAGCTAAAGCGAGGGAGTAGCTTTTTAAAATTAATTTAAATGTTATTTTTTGAAACCTGGTGGTGGTGGCACATACCTTTAATCCCACCATTTGGGAGGCAGAGACAGGCAGATCTCCATCCAAGGCCAGTTCTGGTTTATAAAATGAGTTCCAGAGAAACCCTGTCTCAAAAAAACAAACCAACCAAACAACCAACCAAGATGGGGTGGGGGGGAGGGGGAGGAAGAGGAGGAGGAGGAGGAGGAAACAAATAAATTTTATTGTTTGAAATTTGTGAAAAATGTCCCACAGTACATTTTTCATTAACCCATACAGTAGATTACATTGACTAACTTTATATTCCATTCGGTTTTTTTTTTTTTTTTTTTTTTTTGGGGGGGGGATTGGGAATGTGTCTCTTATGGCATGCTCGTGAAGGTCAGGGTACAACTTGGTCCATCTTTACTTGGATCTAGGGGATTGGACTCAGCTGGTCAGGCTATGTGGCAAGCACTTTTTATCTCTCGCTGGTCTGCAGCGAATATGATTACTTTTGACTTTTTAGGACAGTCTATTTTCTGGTATGGTTGTTTCGCCTGTGTGTATGTCCATGTGCTGGGTCTCTCCAGCCCCTCCTTTGAAGTGTAATTTCAGTGAAGTATTACACACCTTGTGTAGCCTTATCCATGTTCAAGTGCACGTGTCAGCAGTATGCGGCCCATCCCTATTTTTGTGTAGAACCCTCCAGAACTCTTTCTTACCTCTCAGAACTGTAGCTGTGTCATTAAGCAACTCCCTGGTTGTAGCTCCAACTGCCTTTGTCGGCTGCCATTTTACTTTCTGATTTTGTGAATTTCACAATTCTAGATGCCACATATAAAGGGAACGCTGAGATATTTGTCTTCTTGTGGCAGACTTATTTCACTTAGCTCAGTGTCCTCAGGTTGACCCATAATGTAGCAAACGTGGATCAGAATTCTTTCCCCTTTCATGGCTGAATTAAATCCTGTTGCATATTAGTTTCTGTTTCTGTATTCTTCATCAGGGGATAGTGGGTGGGTACCTGTTCTCATCAGAGCCCTTCCATCCAACAAACGTGCCTTCGGGAATCCCTGGCTGCAGCCATGCACATGCCAGACTTGGTGGCTGCTGTCGTTAGCTTGTGCTTGGTGGCACCGAAGCAGGGACTGACAGACATTTCTTAAAACTGAATTATGCCTGTAGAGTTTGTGACATCTTAGGATGTTTGGCAGCATTTCTTTGTCCTGTCGGGCATAATGGCCCATCTTCTGGAGCTGGTGAACCTGTGTCCACCTTTAAACACCATATCAAACAGTCAGGACAGGTGGGACAGGGCAGGTCATTGTCGGTGGTTTCAGAATTGAGGGACTGCCCAGTGGCCACTTTCCCCGAGCTCCTCTGTTGAGTGTCACTGTTTCTTATCTGGGTCATCTGGACGACCTCCTGACTGGACTCCTCTTCCCCCTCCTGTCTTCCCGTAACTCAAATGATGATGGAACATGGGTGGCATTATCCTCTACCTAACCCTTCCCTACCTCAGACATCCCGCCACCCTGGGGAAGGCAGAAAGCCTCCTCATGCCTCAGGCTCTGCGTGCTGCTCCCCCCCTTCTTTGGCCTTAGGACACACCTGTGTGCTGTGCGCTCATCCTCCCTTCTGTGTGTGGATGGCTCTACTCCCTGTTGAATGTGGCTTTTTTTAGAGCCTGTGGACTTTATGTTCCTCTGGTAGACTGTGCTCCTTTCCCTGGGTACGGCAAGACTACTCGATAAGGTCTCTGTTCAAATCGTACTCCGAGAAAGGTTTGTCTGGGCTGGGCATTAGAATCCTGGTTCACCAAGAACAAGCCTCACTTCCCAGTGCCATTGAGAGTCACCTGGGGTGGGAGTGTCCAGCCTACACTGTCTTCAGCTTCTGTCTGATAGTGTGGGCACCATCTTGAGCTCTAGTAAAGGAAGTGTCTGTCTGGAAGTGACATAGCTTCATTACTTGGCTCAAGCAAGTCACATTGCCACATCTAATGCCAATTACTGGGGATTAGCAACACCTTATGTGTGAGAAGCCACTGTGCAGTTGCAGTAGACAGAGGCCTCGGGCTTTGCCTGCTCCAGTTTTCTATAGCATTTGTCTCCACCTGAGGTATAGGTCTACATTTTTTTGTCTTATTTTGTCTGGTGGATGGTGAGCATCATAAGAGTAGGGCCTTTGTCCTGATATCCCTGTTGAACCCTGGGGCCTAGGAACATACGTGCTTAATGATTGTAGAGATGGGTTAGGGAGGCAGCCAAGGTAGCCTTTTGAGTTAGTCATTGGCAGAACAGACTGGGGAGGACCAGAAAGGAGGGGGAGGATAGGGACTGGTGGAGAGGAGCTGGGAGGAGTGGGGAGGAGGGGGAGAAGATAAGGAGCCTGGCAGGGTTCTAGAGAGCAGAATTGGAATCACTGGTCAGAGAACTGTGCCGGTGTAAGTCTTGGGCCCGGGGATGAGAGGCTGCACTGTACGGTCTTCTCTGGTCGTGTGGGCTGTTGAGGAGGTGACTAGGCAGGTGTGGCTGGCTGTCCCAGGACAGGTAAAAGTGGAAGGAGGACTTGCTGTCCTTTCAGGGAGTACCTTTAGCACTCTGTTCCCTCTCTGGTCCTGTTACAGCTGAAGGAGCTCATCTGGCCTAGGAGAGAGACCCACCCATGAGTGGGGTTGACATGGTAGGGGAGGAGCTGTTTGCCCCTCATGTAGTAGCTTTTTTAGGGATTGTGGGGAGGGGTAGTGTCAGGGATCAAGCCCAAGGACCAGGGGTGCTGGGCAAATGCCCTACCACCGAGCCCTCGTGAATTCTGACTCTGCAGGTAGGTTCTCATTCTCCATTCTATAGGCAAGAAGAGCTGAGACTTCCATGTTCAAGCTAATCTAATGCTGGCCGTGCTCACAGCCATGGTGCCCATGTGCCCTGTTGAGGCCCCAGGCAGTAGGGTACTCTGAAGGTTTGGGGTCTGGAAAGTCTTGGTGAAGAGAGTACAGCAGTGTATAGTGGTTCTGGTATAAGATGTGTGCAGGGCCTAACCCGGAAGGAAATGACTGGGCTATTTCTGTATGCTTGCACAGGCAGTGTAACCACAGCACCTTCTGTGACGGATCAGTCCACCCGCAGGTGGACTTATTTATTTATTTATTTATTATTATCTTATTTATGAGTAAGTTACAAATCTGAAAGGGTCCCCTCAGTGATGTCTCCTGTGGCCGTGTCATTGGTCAGCTGGGAACATCCTCTGTCTGGGGGGAGGGGTGCTGTGCTCTGTTCTGGCGTGTGGCGTCCCCTCTGATGTCCTTGACACCCCCAGACAGGGGAGGGCAGAGGGAGAAGTCAGAAAGCATTGCCCAGCAGAACCGAAGAGCCACTGTGTGGAAGAAGTGGGGGTCCGCAGAGCAGAGCCGGGGATGGGCAGTTGGGATTGGAGGCAGGCAGGCCCAGAGTGTGGAAGTCTGTAGAACAAGGGCAAGGTGGTCATTCTTCCTAGGCGGTAACGGGAGCGGGGGTGTGCAGGTGTTGCCTGAGGAAAGAAAATGGACAGTTGTGCGGGCACCCTTGGGACTGCAGGACCATACAAATAGCTGTATTAGCTGAAACCAGGCCATACTGTGTGTTGTCTCTAAGATCTTTAAAGCATTCTACTGAGGGCAGGTTCAGTGAGTACAGTGCTTGCTATACAAGCGTAAAGGCCAGAGTTCAGATCCTTAGTTCCTATGGAAGAACTGGATGTGATGTATGCCGCTGTAACTCCAGGCGAGGGTAGAGGCAGATGGGTCCTGGGGCTTTGTCAGCCAGCCATCTAGTGCAAATGGCAAGCTTCAGGTCTAGTGGGATGCTGTGTGATTGGAGGATGGCCTCTGGTCCCCAAGTACACACCTGGAATGGGTACACAAGCTCCAGGTACAGTGGCATCCTGTGTCACTAAAGGGGGAGCAACAGAGGGGTACAACCCCTGGTCCACACACACACACACACACACACACACACACACACACACACACACACACACACACACTTCTCACACACTTGACACACACACGCACACACTTATCACACAATTTGTTGTTGTAAATATATGTATTTTTAACGTTGAAAAGTCATTTGGGCTAGTGAGATGGCTCTGCCACTACTGTGACAAGCTGGTCCCAATCCCTGGGACCCACACTCACAAGTTGTCTTCTGACATCCAGTGTGTATAACCCATCTCCACACAGACCTTGTAATCTACAGTTATAAATGTACAGGGGAATGAGAAGTAGTAACATTAATATTTAGTACACCGTAGCCCATGAAAAATATTGCAGACATGGAGGGCTACAGTGCTTTGTTTCTTGCAAAAGCCTTCTGAAGGGATTGAGAAGTGCGGCTCCGTTGCGTTTGTAACATCTCGTGAATTGCTGTACAGTGGACTTGGCTGAGTTTCCGGTACTTTTAATTTGTGACTTGAGTGTCATGAAGTATGCCTGGGGGCTGTCATGCCACAATGAGTCTCCTGGAATGTTTTAATTCTTGTCACCAGTCACATGTGGCAAGTGACCACAAAGCTGATTGCTGCGTAGGGTGAGGCGGAGGCCCCATATGCCCTCATGGAACACTTGACTGGGTTCCTTCTGTGTTCACTGTGGAAAACCTCAGGAGACCACTGCAATGAGCAGTGTTAGCACTTAAACCCCTTTAAAAATTTTTCAAACCAATGTGTGAATCTCTGTCATCCTCAGGCCCTAACTGCTGGGAGAGACTTCATACTTGTTTTTGCCCATTTCCTAACAGGTTGTCTGGAGGTCATGGGTATTTACTGAGGTCAGTCAGAGCCCAATGACAGTGACGCTTTCCAGAGAGTTGTGCCTGCCTTCTGCCCTCAGCCATTACTGCTGGTGTTTTACTAAAAGCTAATCAGTTCTCCTACTTTTCATCTGTGTGGGTTTTTGTTGGTTTGTTTTTTAAATCCCCGTTATTCTGGATGTGTTTTCCCCCTTCCTAGACAAGGCCCCTCTGTCGAAGAGTCTCTTGCTGGTCCCCAGTGCCCTGTCCCTTCTGCTGGCTCTCTTGCTGCCCCACTGCCAGAAGTTCTTCGCATATGACCTCCATGCCGTCAAGAACGACTTCCAGGTAGGCTCACCGCTCCTTTGGCCTCTGGGAGGAGAGGGGATGTTTTTCTAGACTGGCCTCTTCTCCCTTCAATTAATTAGCCCCTCAAAACCCCACACGTTTCAAAAATAGTATTTTAAAGTTGTTCTTTGAGAAAATTCTTACATCTTGATCACGTCTACCCTCTCCATCCCCCTGCAACGCCTCCCAGAACCACTTCCACCAAGTCCCTCTCCTAACTCCATCTCCTCCTCCTCATGATAATAAACTGCACATCTGCACAAGGAGTACAGGACCATACGCTAGAGCACAGGCAACTGGCCAACCCTCTAAAGAAAACTTCCAACAGCCATCAGCCACTCATAGTGCCTCAGCTAGGGCTGGGTCCTTGTCAACCCCACTCCATCCAGGTCTGGTTCAGGCCACCACAGCTTTGAGTGCACGAGAGGGTAGCAGCCTTGGCATGTCCAGGAGATGTGGTTTCACAGCCATTCTCCCCAGTCCCTGGCTCTTACAGTCTTTCTGCTTCCTCTTTGGCCATGCTACCTCATCCACACGGAGGATAAGTGTGAAACAGATCCTAAATCTGTAGCAAGTGTTTTTAATGCTGCATTCACAAGCACATTTTTCTAGTTACATTTGCGGATACTTTCAGTAATGCAGATTATAAATGGAGAAATTGCAGTGTTACCTTTTGCTGAACTCATAGGTTTGTATTTCAGGTTTTACACATGGAGATGCAATTTATACTTTGAAGAGAAATTTTGGGCTAGTGTGATGTTTCTGTCATTAAAGGCACTTGCTACCAAGTCTGAGAACCTGAGTTCAATCATTGGGACCCACATGGTTGATAGAAGGAGACAACTCCCATAAGTTGTCCTCTGACTCATGTTAATCTCTTATAGGCACAAGTAACATTTTCAAAAGCCAGGCTTAGCCTGTGTGTTTGATGAGATAGTCCAAGCTCATTTGTTGTTGACACACTCTACATTGATGCTTCTATGAAGGGCGTTAAACCAAGAGGGATCACTTTGCTATTGGAAAGAACAGAGCTCTGTTTCCAGATTGATGAGTGAGTCTTGGGTGGTCAGAGTGTTAGCACCAGTGTGCTGGGTGCTCTGGCCGCTTCCTTTGCCACCCTGAGGCTCTTCCTTCATTGTGATGGGACTTGGTCATTGCTTACGCTGGATTCACAGAGTCCCTGTGAGTGTCCTTCTGTTAGTGACCTGTGTCACTGCTTCTGTTAGTGTAGACAGAAGCTCTGTATTGTGTCATTGTCTGTAATGCGGTGCCTCTCACCTTTGGCTTAAGAAAAAATACACTTAGATTTATATGTACACATACACACACATATACACATATATTAAAGCACATAGACTCTTACCCTAGACCTGTTGAGTGAGAAAGGCTCTGGGTGGTTAAGAGCACACGCTACTCTTGCAGAGGATCCAGGTTCAGTTCCCAGCACCTATATGGTTGTTCACAACCACCTCAAACTCCAGTTCCAAGGAACCAGCATCATCTTCGGGTCTCCATAGGCACAGTATGTACGCGATACATACAGTGCATTGTATGTGCATGTTAGTTACTTTTGTGCAGCCAAAACAGTCATATACAGTAGAAAGAAACAAAAAGGAAAGTATTTTAACTATACATAAAAGCAATTGATAAGACATTAATGGTTTTAATTTTTAAATGTTAATTAAAAAAAAACAAAACAACAACAAACCCCACCAATCCCCAAGGGATTCTAGTGTGAGGTCAGCTTTGAGACTTGAGAACTTCTGGAAAGAGATGTAAATCTCCCAGTTTCTGGGCTTTGTTTGGCTCACCTGCTGCACGGTTCACAGGTATCTGTTCTGAGGTGTCTGGGTATACTCACAGGAAGTGCTTTGGAGAAGCGAGGAGTTTCACTTCTGCCCTGGGAATTCTGAACACACACATAAGAGCGTGGGTACCAAGTGTCCACTAGATCCTTAGGGGATGATGAACCGAGAGGGGCCCAGACAGGAAAGAATAACTCTGGGGAGCTTGGGGATGTTTTTAGTAGGTTTGGATGAAGGGTGACCGAGTTATTATTGAAGGGCTGAAGCTTTGCTCCGGTGTCCAGGAAGTCCAGCCCCTCTGGTCTGTGTGGCCGGTGTCACAGGAGAGCTGACACAGGGTTTGTGGATGATAAGGTGTTCATTCTGTCACAGGGTCAGGTGACAGAGGCATTCCTGTATCACGTCCCTTGAGGTTGGCAGAAAAGGCTGAATTATTTAAGACTAGTCACCAGCTTTATTTGATACTAACCACAGGAAAACCAAACCATGAGAGTTCTGGATACACAATTCACTGCATGTTAGAAACTGTAGTCTTGATTTTCATACCCCTCATATTTTCCTAGTGGCTGCTAGGATGCTTTGACCACAGTGTGGAGTTGTCTGTTAGCTGCTCTGCGTTGATGACAGGCATCCCAGCAGCCTTCTGAGCCCACTCACCCTGGGGCAGTCTTTGCTGGTCTACAGTTGCACCGTCGTTCTGGTACTGTTGTAGTCTATCCACAGACTCCTGACATGGTTGCTTGTTAGTATTCCTCCCTTATCATGGGCCTTTCTTCTTCCTTCCTCAGTTAGAGACTTCCTGGTGCTGACAGTTCAGCGAGTAGGCAAGTAAATGAGTCTCTTGGCCTTCCCAAGGTTGAGTACTGTGAGAATTTGGAGTTCACTGGTGGCTTTTGCTTGGAGCAGAGACAGCTGTGGGCTGCTTTGGTTGTGCAGTTGGCTTTCTCATTTGCTCTATTTGGTAGAGGAAGAGACCATATGACTTCATTTTGATGATCTTGGGATGGGGTATTACCACTGTTCGTAGCAATACTGTTCATGGTAGAGCATCCCTGTGTCCATCAGTAGACAGACAGCAGACAAAGCGTTGTGGTATTCGGCAGTAAGAGAATGAGACTTAGAGACATGCTTCATTGTGAACCTTGAAAACACTATTCCTGGGTTAACTGGCCAGACACAAGAGGACAGATAGGTGTGATCCCATTCATGCTGTGCCTAGCACAGGCAAATTCATAGACAGAAAGTTGGACAGAGGTCACCAAGCCCTGTGGGAAGGGATGGCAGGCTAATGTCTCATGGTGCAGCATTTAGGATAATAGGATGATGCACACTGCTGTAGGTTTTTAACAATACTGAGTCATGTGTTGAGAAATAGTTAACATGGTAAATTTTATCTTGTGCTGTCCCACAATAATTCAAAGGGACAAAGGGGTTAATCTGTTCTAACTATGAAGGGAAAAATGATGTCAGTGTTTTATGGATGCCATCAGGGTCATTCAAATTTGAAAAATATTGAAAAGTCAAAACAGGTCTTTGAAAAGTAGCATTTTCCTGTGTATTTCTTTTTCATAGTCAGAAGATGGATTTTCAAAGCTGATAGTATTTTAATCTGCTAGTATTTACCAGCAATTCTCCAAAGCTGCCGTGGGTGTGGTTCTTTTGTGATGAAGCTGAGATATTTTTGAACTTTTACTCCAATTGTCATTTGTGAGTTTATTCTCAAATTCAGTAGTATGAACATAATAAAATGAACATGTATTAGTCTTTTATTTCAGGTGATTGTGTGTGAGAGAGAGTGTTCGTGTGTGTGTGTGTGTGTGTGTGTGTCTGTGTGTGTGTGTGTGTGTGTGTGAGTGAATGTGATTGTGAGTGAGTGTGATTGTGAGTGAGTGTGCTCGCGCACGTGTCTGTGCGCACATGTGTCTGAGTGTGTGAGACTGAGTGAGTGTGAGTGTTTGAGTGTGAGTGCGTGTGTGAGTGTGTGAGAGTAAGTATGTGTGTGCTTGTGTGAGTGTGTGTGGTGGTGGGGAGCATGCCATGGTGGGCCTCGTGTGGGAGTCTGGACAACTCTGTGGAGTCAGTTGTCTCTGTCCATTTAGATGTGGGCTTGAACTCATGGTGTCAGACCTGGCAGCAGGTGCCCTGATGAGTGAGGTTCACGAGGAATCCTCTGTTGCCTTAACCGCATGCATCTTATTATAGCAAGCAAAGAGACTTCTCACCGTTGGAGGGAATCTAGAATTCTCTTTTGACATCAGGCATGCTGAGTTTACCTTTGCGAGTGCGTGCATAGTAACCGGAGAGATGTCACTCACTGGGTGTTCTGATTTTAATCTCTGTCTAGATTTGGAGGCTGGTATGCGGAAGAATAATTTGCCTTGACTTGAAAGATACTTTTTGCAGTAGTCTTCTTATTTATAACTTCAGAATATTTGAAAGAAGATACGGGAGCAGGAAGTTTGCAGTAAGTTACTTAATGTTTTAACTTTTTCTGCTGAGATTCCAGAGTGAAATGACCTCATCTGTATGCTGGATTTGCATATTTGCTAGGCAAGTACATTATACCACCAGCTTCATCTCCAGCCCTTATGTTTTATTTTCCAAACTTCGAAGTAAAGACTTGCGTATTTCCCCAAGATGGCCTCTGGTTTGTAATCCACCTATTCAGGCTCCAGAATAGCTGGGGTTATAGGATGCAATGCTGCTCAGATCCTTGTTTTAAAATGCCTTCCATTTTTTAAAACTGAGCATATTATTTATAAATAAGTTACATGATTCTAGATCTGGTTTGTGGCCTCTACATTAGCCAAAGAAGAAACTTGAATTTAAGCCAGTAACATGATAAAACAAAGAAACGGTGGTGACGGCACTACACAACACTGTGTGTGCCAGTAATAAAAATTTTAATTGGAACTTTAGCTAGTAAGACTCTGATCACTTACTTGGCTTAATAGTACACGTGCTACTTACTAGCAGTATGTTTTAACTAAATGTTGTTTTTCAGCATGTCTAGAAATTGTAGGAACTAATACATATGAACAATTATGATTTATTTCTCAAGTTTGGAAAGTAACAAAAACAATGTTAAAACTATGCTTATGCATGTATACATATATGTGTAATATGCGTGTGTGTGTGTGTGTGTGTGTGTGAGTGTGTGTGTGTGTGTGTGAGTGTGAGTGTGTGTGTGTGTGTGTGTGTGTGTACATAGCCCACATCCCCCCCACACACACCTGAATTCATGCTAACTAAATAGCTGTTATTTTTTGGCAACTCATTTTCTGTTTTTTGTTTTATTTTATAGTCCTTCTTGCTGGGCTCCTGGGTCTTGTCAGCCTTGTTTGACCTCATCCTTGTGGAAGCTGTGCAGTATTCGTTTGGCATCACTGTGGCCAGTAATTTGCCTTCTGGATTGTAAGTAGCTTATAGTTTGGAGTTACTTATTTAGGATTCTTAAATTTATTTGAAATACTGTCATTCACGAACTTTCACCAAAGGTCTTTTAAGGCGGCTGTGGTGGCCACACCTTTAGTCCAGGCATTTGGGATACAGAGGCAGATAGATCTCTGTGATTTCAATGCCAATCTGGTCTACATAGTGAGTTTTAGGCCAGCCAGGGCTACATAGTGACTGTGATTCTGTCTGAAAAGAGATTAATTTGTACTTTCAGATATAGTAAGCGTGTGTGTAAAGAAAATCCAGTATATACTTACATATTCCTTACGCTCTTAAAATAGTTTCAGAGTATTTTCCTTTTTCTTTCAGCTTTGCAATTATTCCATAGTTTGTTTGAGACAGTGTCTCATACGTATAGCCCAGGATGGCCTCTAATACAAGAGTCTTTTTATTCAGGCTTTCTAGGTGCTGGGATGGTAAACCTACAACCATCCTGAATTCCCCAAATTGAATTTGTTTTGTGTATTTTTATAGTGATATCTTGCTATTGTAATTTTATGAGCTAATTAAACATTAAAAAATCCAAATTTAATTAGCATGGACAACAAAATAAATGTACTGAAGTTGAGATTCTGAAGAAATTTTTAGGTTATTAATTTTATACTTCCACCAAAGGTCGAGCAAAGTCAGTGCACAGGTAATAATAGCTTTGTGCTTCCTACAGGGACAGACTGGCTCGATCCTGCTTTCAAGTAAAACTGTGTTAGTGTATAGAGCAACTGGGAGCCAAGGGCACAACTGTGAATGCAGGCAGAAGGCCTAAAGCCTGTCAGAATTAAATATGTGAGCCTGTGTTTGCAAGGCACGGTAGTGTGCACATAGAGAAACTGGATATTTAACATCCTGTGTGCACTGACTTTAGCCTTGTTCTAATTTTACAGGATGGGTTTGAGAAATGTCAGGTAAAACAGGTCCCTTGATTCCTAAGCAGGCTGGATCTCTGTTTTAGATATGTAACTAGTGTTAGGTTAGAGTCAGCATGAAAAGTGCCCTTCAGCTGTTTTAATAACATGTCTCTCTGAGTCTCACCCGAGTGGGGAGTCAGGGTTCTGTCATCACAACTGCGTGGCCTTGTTGAGTTGCACGGGTTGTGAGTGTGGCCTTGTTGAGTTGCACGGGTTGTGAGTGTGGCCTTGTTGAGTTGCACGGGTTGTGAGTGTGGCCTTGTTGAGTTGCACGGGTTGTGAGACGGGTTGTGAGTGTGGCTGCGTGGCCTTGTTGAGTTGCACGGGTTGTGAGTGTGGTAGGTGGGGACCATGGGCCGCTGCTCCTGTGTCATCATTACAGCACAGCCTTGTGTTACACAACTGTTAGTGTGTTAGGTGGGGAGTGTGGGTTGCTGCTCACACCTGTGAGCAGGGTGCAATGCTGGAGAAGGCTTCCGTGTTAACTCCACAGCGGTGCCCAGGCACTCTCTCCTCAGAATGGTTTTTTTTTTTTTTTTTTTTTTTTTTTTTTTTTTTTTTTTGGTTTTTCGAGACAGGGTTTCTCTGTGTGGCTTTGGAGCCTATCCTGGCACTTGTTCTGGAGACCAGGCTGGCCTCAAACTCACAGAGATCCATCTGCTTCTGCCTCTTGAGTGCTGGGACTAAAGGCATGTGCCACCAATGCCCAGCTCTCAGAATAGTTATTATCTGGCCAGTTCTTATTGGTTCTTAACAAAGACTACTGAGTTTTGGAGGTGTGTGTGTGTGTGTGATGTGTTGGTGTAAGAATGAGACTTGGATAATACTAGTAACACAGATCCCTGGACTTACACAAAGGTGGAAGGAGAGGAGTGAGTTGTCCTATGACCAACATATGTGTGCTGTAGCCTACACATGTACATATCCGTACATATACACATGTAGGCGGAGTTTCTTTCCCACCTGGTCCTGCTGCCCTTCAGCTCCAAATAAACACACAGAGACTTAGATTAATCATAAACTCTTTGGCCAATGGCTTAGGCTTCTTACTGGCTAGCTCTCTCTTAATTATTAACCCATTTTTATTAATCTAAGTATTTCCATGTGGCCTTATCTTACCAGAGAATGCCTGGCGTGTCCTATCTTCCCTGAACTACATGGTGTCCCTTTGCAGCTCCTCTCTTTGTCCTCTCCCCAGAATTCTCCTCATCTTGTAGCCCCGCCTATATCTCCTGCTGGCTACTGGCCAATCAGTGTTTTATTCATCAACCAATAAGAGAAACATAGATACATGACATCCCCCATCACACACACACACACATACACACACTGACACATTCTCTCATGCACACACGCACATATTCACACACACACACACACACTGACACATTCTCTCATACACATACACATTCACACACACACACACACACACACACACACACACATACACACTATTAAAAAAATCAGTGTTAAAGACTGGAAACAAGATGGCTCAGAGGTTAGGAGCACTGGCTGCTCTTACAGAGGTCCTGAGTTCAATTCCCAGTAACTGGTGGCTCACAACCATCCATTACGAGATCTGGTGCCCTGTGCTGGTGTGCAGATATACATGGAAGCAGAATGTTGTATACATAATAAATAAATAAAATCTTTAAAAAAAAAAAAGATAATGGAAACAAGTGTCACAGCTGTGCTAGAATTAAGAAAAAAAGCCCACAAAACCCCAAGACCTTGAAATCTGCATTTTCTTTGAATAGGGGTCAGACTCCATAGGTGCTGTCTGCAATGGTAGACTTCGCTGTCACCATTTTGGGTTCCAGCTGTGCCACTTACGAGTTTAGTGATATCCTGCAAGTGCCTGGACTCTGTTGTTTCTGAGCCCAGTTTCTATCTGCCTGGCACTCTCGTCAGTTGGAGGTGCTCTGCAGCACAGGGCCATGAAGAGGGCAGATTAGGCTCCTTCACTAGCAGCATGTAGCGACAAGCCCCATGCTTGGTTCCCTTCTTCCTTTGAGCCCTGTAAGCCTGATGCATGTGTGTGATCCCTGGAACCCACATGGTGGAGGGAGATAACTGGTTCATGCAGGTTGTTCTCTGGTCTCCACACACATGCTGTGGCATACAGATGCCCACATGTGTGTAGTTACCATGTGTACATACACAATAAAAAAAGTGCAGTGTAGTTTAAGGAGCGTCTGATTACAGTGGTAAATACTCTGCTGCCATGACTTGTTTTTCACTGTTAATTTCCCGGTGTGAAGACCACAGCACACATTTCACCCCGTTGCTTTGTCTGCACTCTCATTGTGCCTTGCGCTTTCACGCCACATTCTTGAAAGAAACCTTTTGGAAAGGGCTTGCTGAGAGCATGCCCAAGAGTAGAGTTGTCTGAGTAGTTGAAAATAGGCTGTGTGTAAGCACCCACCCATTCCTTTCTTCTAGGAGTCATATACTAGGTTAGTGCTCTGCCACTCAGTGACTGTGTGTGTTTGTATCTTAAACCACAGGGGCTCTCCCCTCCCCCTCTCTCCATCTCCCCCTCCCCTCCAATGTTTCTTAAAGGATTTTACTCACTTGGCTCTTGAGCCTGAAATCTCCCATTATTTTTCTCTGTTGAGAAACTCCATCAAAGTTCCGCCTTTGCTCCTGGATCCTCTAGTTATCACTGTACATTTTTTTAAACGTTTTTGCTTATTATTGAAAAATTGGTACCTGACTTGGACATTCAGAGTTACACTCTGTCCCAAGCAAAAGAGTCATGAAGGTTATTTTGTAGAGGGAGTTGTAAGTTGAGTCATTTTATGTCCATGTTTAGAATAGGAGTTTATTGGTTGTAGTTCAGTTCCTTTGCTTTTAGATAAGACATTTCTTTGTGGAGAAATCAAATGGGGAGGCTAAGATCAGAACTAAGGTTCCCTGAATAGCATGTGGCCTGGAAAAATTTTTATAATGTATGTTTTAACTGTGTAAGAAGAGCAAGCTGTTGGTGTTGTGAGAAGTTATTTAATAACCACTTATCATCTCGTGTCATAGGAATATCAATTTATGGGGCAGAAATGGGATCTCAGTTACCTTTACAACCTTTCCCGTGAGTGGGGTTTGGGAAGCAGCAGGTGCTTGTTGAAAGAAAGGATGGGGGACTGCTGGACGCCCTGTTGCCATTGGTTAATCCCTGTAGTGAGCTGAGCAGAGTTGCTTATGTAGAAACCTTGAAAGCTGATGTTTAGAGTGTAGAATACTGAATTCAGACTGCTCTCCCAGGTGTGAACTGATACAATACTGAGTTCAGACTTCCCTCCCAAGTGTGATCTAACACAATACTGAGTTCAGACTGCCATCCCAAGTGTGAATTGCCCTCCCAAGTGTGAACTGATACAATACTGAATTCAGACTGCCCTCCTAAGTGTGAACTGATGTAAGGAGATCTATCGAATTATTTTGAATAACTTTTTTTCCCTCTTTACGAGCCACTTGTATACAGAATTTAATGAGAAAAAAGTTAAGTTTGTTAACAACCTACTCTGATAAGGCCTGACTCCCAAACCTAATTTGGGTGACCCTCCCCCGGTAATTCATGAATATGTTATCTGTATTTTTATTATTGGTTTTTGAGACAGTCTCACTATGTAGCCTGGGCTGGCCTTCTGCCTTTTGAGTGGTGTGATCACAGGCATGGTCACCACAAATGACTCATGCCCATGCGTTATAGAAGTTGTAAAATAAAAAATAAAAGCATATCAGAATACTCTATTTAATCATGTTGCTGGAACAATAAAATACCACAGAGTTTTGTTTTTTTTTTAAGTTTATTATTATTTCTTTTTTACCAGAGAAGGGACTGGATAATATAGAATGCTGGGTCACCTGAAAGTAGCTAGAAAAAGAGTTTCAAAGAGATTAAAGACAGGCCATTTACTCTGACTCAAACCATCTCACTGTTCATGTTGCTAAGTGAGCGCAAGCTGCCAGAGCGGAAGCTTTTCCTGCGAACGCTCCGAAGGTAGTTTCGGTACAACATGACACTGATAACTCGAGCCTGGAATTGCTTGGACACAATGTAGTAGAGGACGACGTCCAGGCACGTGCTGAGGTTCATGAGGAAGGTGGTAAAGGCGCCCCAGGGGTTGTAGCTGTTTCCTTCCCCGTGCAGCATCAGGAAGGCGAAGCAGATGTGGAAGGGCACGAAGCAGAGGAGCACCTGCACCAGCAGTGTGAAGATGATCCGGATGGACTTCTCCTTCACCGCGGGCTTCAGCTGGGAGGTCTGCCCGCGCAGCAGGCTGTGGGTGATGACCACGTAGCACCCGATCATGACCAACAAAGGGAGCAAGAAGAAAAACGCCAGACGTGTGAAGTTGAGCACGTTGACTGCTTTTAAGTGGATGATGTCAGAGACCTTCAGGCAGGTGGCGGGGGAGGTGGCCTTGTCGGGGTCTTCGTAGAGCAGTATCAGGGGGACCGTGGTGGTCAGGGTCATTATCCAGACTCCCACGCAGGCGAGCACAGCCTTGCAGGTGTTCTTCAGCTCCTTGGCGTATTTAGGCTGCACTATGGCCATGTACCTGTCAGCACTGATGAAAGCCAGAAGCCAAAGAGCAAGGCCTGGGTAAAACACCACCAGGATCCCAAGAACGTGGCAGAAATACTCTCCAAATGGCCACTCACCCTTTGCATAGTAAAACATCCGGAAGGGTAGGCTCAGTATAAATATTAAGTCCAGTAGTGCAACGTTCATCATGTAGATGGTTACAGTGGTTCTTTTCTTGGTTGTGCAGCTGAAAACCCATAGTGCGGTGACATTAACAAGTAATCCAATCAGGAAAATGCAGCTGTAGAAGACCAGGGCTGCGATTTTGTATTCATCGGGGTGTGAGTGGCTAGAAAGGACCAGCCGATCCAGATCGCTGGGGGTGGTCATCTTACAGCAGGCCGACGCCCATGGTATGCAGAACTGTAAGACATAAGAAAACGGTATAAGAGCTTTACGGAAACAGGGAGCGCCATCTCAGGCTGTTTGCTGTTAGTTAATTTCAGTGTTGAGGGCACCTTATATGGAAGAGTCGTGTGCGTGCCTTAGTGTTTTTCAAGAACATATGCCCTAGAGTTATTGCTATTGACTGATTCCTCTTACTTTTGTAGCACTAGGCATTGAACACAGGTCTTTACTTTACCCCACTGAGCTAGGAATCCTAGACTTTATTTATTTATTTTGGAGGCAGGACTTCTTTTCTATATGACCCTGGCTGTCCTGGAACTCACTATTTAAATCAAGCCGGCCTTCACCTCACAGAGTTCTGCCTGTCTCTGCCTCTTGAGTGCCATGATTAAAGGTGTGTATGACCATGCCCAGCCCCAGTCTTTATAATGTACTGGTCAGTTCAAATGGCCTCAGGCACCATGATGCTCTGAGAGATTCATCTAGTTTCCTTGGCCTTGTTCGTCTCTCTCTTGCCCAAATAACCAATTAGGTGACAGTAAAAATTCTGTGGAGTAATAATGGGGAAGGGGCCAATCTGGATTTTAAATCTTAGAAAATGGCCTTCCAATTTTTATCATTTTTATTCTGTTTATTTTATAACTCAGATAAGCAATGTTCAGGCACTTTTCATTCACTAATACAACCATAATTTACAAAGCACGTATCAGAACACTTACAGAAAAACCAGAACAGCTGGAGACGGTAGTTCTCTCATGTGAGCAAGTAGGAGTGTGGGTTTCTCTGGCTGTTCTGTCTCGGCTGCTGCCCCTCTAGCACACAACAGGAAGTGCTCAGTGGCCCTCAGCAGCTCTCGTCTGCCTGGGCAGTGAGGTCTTGCAATTCCCTGTTGATCCATCCCACACCCCTTTTTTCAAAGTTGCAAACCTTTCTTCCTGGAGTCATCCTATATTCTCTTCAGATTGTCGTAGGTCTAGACTCACTACTATTGTGTATCATGGTCCACTGTGTCCTAGAGTAACAGGTAGGCAGGCGGTTGGGAGTATCTGAGGCAGGGGCTGCCATGTTTTGTTTACCAGGGCCCTGGAATTTGAGCGTGCATCAGTGGGGTGTAGAAAGTGGTGCTTTGAGTGTGCTTCTCTTGTCTAGTGACTTTCAGACTCCTGCCCTGCCTAGATGAACATAAGTTCTGTCAAAGGGAAGCAGACCTGAGTCCTAGCGTGTGTATACAGAAAGTGAATCCTACCATCAAAAAGTGTTTACTTAGGAAAGAAATGAGTTTAATAGTGTTTATAAATAAGGACCTGTCAGTGTGAAATTACCTCACCCCTGGTGCAGTCTCAGCAGAGACTTAAAAATACTCTCACTATGAACAGATGGAACTTAATAGCATCTCTTCGGAATATGAGAAGCTTTCTTTAAGAATGCCACTTTGGAGGGTGCTTATGTCTAATTCGGCCCCGAGAATGTCTTTAGTGAAAATTACAGGCAGGATGAGTAGCCCGTGGTCAGTTGGTGAGAATTAATGTGAGCAATTGCTGTGAGCAAGCATGAGGTACATGGGTTTGTTCCCTTTGTTGGTTGTAACATATTTGACTTAAATGTGACTTTGGAGTAAAATCCTATATATCTGAAGATCTGTATTAAGATTCCCAAATAAGCCTGAGAATGGCGGCACATGCTTTTAATCCCGGCGCCTAGGCAGAGGGTGGTGGAGCCCTGTTTAAAGCCTGAGTTCCAGGCCAGCCAGTGAGGCCCTGTCTAAAAAGCACCCCCAAACATTTATATAACCAGAATATTAGTTTCTTCCCAAATGAGAAAATTTCTGCATAGAGAAATGAAGTCTTTATCATTAAGCAAAGGAGACCAGCTTAGAAGATTAAACACTTTAACTCTCAGTGGGTTTTAAAATAGCATTGCAAAGTAAAGGAAGTTTGATAGACCCTCCTCCTCCTTCCTGACAGTGCTGTGGAAACGCCTGTATCTATAAACCACGTTGAGCACCCTGTCTGCTCACCCCTCCCTCCTGGTCGCTGCTCTGTAGTCCACCTGTCATGGATCCTTGCCCATGTCCCCCAGCGTAACGCACGCATCTTGTGTTACCATACAACCTGTGTTCTGCAGGATTTGGGGGAAGTGTTAAAAACTGATTGGCTTCAGGTTAACTTTCGAAAAACTTAATTCCATGATTATCTGTATTTTTTTCTTAAAACCGACTAATTTCATGAAACAAGACAATTGAAACCACACGACAACGACATGGAGATATGTTATGATGTATGATGTCAACACTGTGTTAAATGGATGGGGAAAGACAGTGAGGCCCTGGCCGTACACAGAGAGCTGCTGGCGGCCCCTGTGCTGAAAGTGAGAGAACTGCCCTTCCCCAGGTAAAAGCATACCAACTGGCTATCCAGTGCTGAAAACATGACAACACACAAGTAACATTATACCACCTGAGCAGGGTGTGTGTGTGTGTGTGTGTGTGTGTGTGTGTGTGTGTGTGTGTGTGTGTGTGTGTGTTTGTGTGTGTACACAATTAATGAGAAAGAGGCCATGAATTTGAAAGAGCAAGGAGGTGTGTGTGGGAAAGTTGAGGGAGAAAAGGGGAGAAATGATGTACTTATAATCTCAAAAATAAAATAAAAGCTTCTGAAACTCTACACTTAACAACCAACGAAAGTGAAGCCGAAGTTCCGTTTAGTAAACAGCATTCCTTCTGAATAACGGTTTAACCACCAAGTTATTGGATGAAGCTTACCTCTGGTCAGAGGGCTGTCTGAGAGGTGGCCATTTGTCCACGTGCAGGTCCTGTAAGGAGCTCTCAGAGCTCGAGTTACATAGATGGCCCTTTGGTCTTAGTTGTCTGTGGAAACCCTTTTGGAGATGTAGTACCAATACGAGGTGTCTGTGAGGCCAAGTGCCGTGTAGTCTCAACACGGGGCTGTCTGTTGGGCTGAGTGTCGTGCTGCCTCTTTCAGGAAGTGCTCTGAAATGTTCTCGGTGTGGGGCTTTACCCTGGATGTGGTTTTTCTTTTTCACAAGTGATTTGTTTATGAAGTCCTGCTCAGCTCAGCCTCCTTTTGAGGTGCTAGCATGCCTTCAAGAAAGGCATATAAAAGGGGAAATTTTCTTGAATTAACTGTGTGTTTGAAGCCTGTGTCATTTATAGAAAGGAGATGTGATGTTGGGCAGAGCAGGTTCAGAGCCTGGCTTCTTTCTGAGCTGTGTGACTTGGTCTAGCTTTGCTGTTGTTGTTCTGTGTTGCCTCTCTGAAAATCGAAGGCACAGAACTCATGTGGCAGGATTTGGAGAACTCGAATCCAGAAAAATCCTGTCTGGGCCAAAGCACCCGCCACCCAGGCACTCCTCGGTCATCTCCGCCAGGTTTATAAATTATATCATATTGCATCTCACATTTCCAAATTTCCAGGCACCTACAGTGGGGATCCATGGCTCCCTGCTTCCGCTCTGCCCTGTAGATTTGTTTCCGGATCCTGTGGCTACTTTCCACTACTTCGTCCCTTTTCTGTCTCGAGGAAGTCTAGCATTTTTCTTTTCCCCTCCCTCCCTCCCTCC